CCTCCCGTGCCCTTGGTTTTCCCTTCCTGCTCTGTCTCTGTCCCATGGCCTCCCCACTCTGCCAAGTCCTCCAAGCCGCCAGCTCTCCCTCTCTGCTCTCCGTCTGGCGGCTTGGGGAGCCAAGTTCCTCAAGCCACTCCACTCTCTGCTGGCTCTCCCGCTCTACTCTCTGCCCGGTGGCTTGGGGGGCATGGCTCCCTCGGTCGCTGGGAGTGACTGAGGGAGCCACGTTCCCCCAAGCCTTCGGCTCTCCTGCTCTGCTCTCCGCCTGGCAGCTTGCGGGAGTGACTGAGGGAGCCATGTCTCCCCAGGCCGCTGGCTCTCCAGTTCTGCTCTCCTCCTGGCACCCATGTATGCAAATCAACCCACCATCTTTGTTGGGTTAATTTGCATACTCACTCCTGATTGGCTGGTGGGCATTGCAGAGGGATGGTCAGTTTACATGTTTCTCTTTTATTATATAGGATGGGAGGAGATAGGCAAAAAAATAAACGAATAAATTCTACAGTATATTGGGAAATTATGTATTATGTGGGAAAATAAAACAAGGAAGGATGATAGCAGTGTTGTTGGCTTGATGTTGTAGTTTTCCTGGTTAGGGAGTACAGGAAGTCACTGAGAAAATGACATGTGGGCAAATATTTAAAGGTAATGAGAAAGGTAAACTATAAGACTATATGAAAAAGGAATGTTTCAGGCAGAGGGAGCAGGGAGCTTAAAGGACCTGGAGGCGGGGAGTAGGCCAGGTGTATTGTAGGTCTTGTGGCCAAAATGGTTGGGATGGTGACCAGGACAGGGAATTGGAGACATAATGTGGGGCCAGATTATTTAGGACTCATAGGCCATTGTAAGGACTTTGATCTTTGCTCTGAGTAAGGAGGGGAGCCATTATTGGAGGGATTTAAGCAGTGGAGTAATATGATCATATTTCTATTTTAAAAGGATCAAGATCACTCTTCTGAGTTGAGATTAGACTGAAGTGAGGCAAACAAAGGTAGAAACAGGGAAACCAGTTAGAAGGCTACTACAGTAATTCAAGCAAAAGATGATTATGACTCAGACCAGGAGGCAATGGTAAGTAGTAGTTGGAGTCTGTATTTTTAAAGTTTTGTATAAAAGCTTTTTATGGCTTCTTGTTAGCCACAGAATAAAGGCTGAAACTTTTTAGCTCATTATTTAAGTCCCACCAGAATTTGTCATCTGGCAAAGATTCTCCCCTGTTCTTCCATCCAATCCTTCCTGGTCAGACAAATATAGAAATAGGTAATGGTTAAGAATATAGATTCTGGAGCCAAACTGTCTGTATTTAAATCCCAGCTTTACCACTTACTAGCTGTGAATAGGGACAATTCATTTAATTCTATCTCTTAAATGGAGCTAATAATAGTACTAGGGTTGTTGTAGGGACATCAGCTAAAATTTGTATCATCTTTAGAATAGTGCCTAGCACACAGAAAGGGATACATAAGTTTTTGTTAAATAAATTTAAAATTCTACTCTAAATTTCTCCCTCCTCCAAAACCAAAGACAGTCATTGCACAGGCCTATTCAGCACCTTTGCTCAAGACTTGTTCTCACTGGAGTGCGCTTCCCCTTCTTTCCTGCCTATGAAAATTTAACTTCTTCATTAAACATTTAATATTAATTGAGCACCTATCAGACACTGAATTAGTCGTTGAGGACACGGCAGTAAACAAGACAGAATCCTAGCCTTCAGGGAGTTTATACTCTAATGGAGAGTGCAAACCGATATACTATAGTGTGGTAAGTGTTGACTGGGTAAGTTCAGAGTTCACTAAAGGCATCGTCTTGTGGAGTTAGGGGAAGCTTCATCAAAGATGTGAGATGTCAGCTAAGACTTGAAGGAATTAGCCTGTTGAAATGGGTGTCAAGACGAGGGAAGGGGGTGAGGCTTGGAGATGAGAACAAAGTTTTGTTCACCAAACGAGCTTTAAGGGAGAGAGAGGCTAAAGTTGAGGCTAAACAGGTAAGCAAGAACTATGGTATAAGAGGGTTTGAAAAACATTCCGGATGGGCCATCTCAAAAATCCATAGGCATCTTCCCAGATTACCTCAACCAACTTTTCTCATTCCTTCTGAATTTCTTAGTGCTCTGGCTAAAGTGGAGGGTTTACATTAGGGGAAAGTTGCAGTAACGTTATTGGGGATGATTTTTTGGGGCAGAAGTAGAAATGAGATGGAGGGTCAGAATCTGACTTGGATTAAATTTAAAATTTTGGATGTTTCCCTGTGGATGAGTGGAAACACTAAAGATTATTCAGAGTGGATTATCATAGAAAAGGAAAGTTCTCAGAGACAGAGAGGGAGAGATTTCTGGGAATTGTAATTCATTAAAGATAAAATTTGATTTTGAAGGGGAAGAGATGAGAATGTAAAATCCGGATCATAAAATCCGGATCATAAATGGATCAAAAGGTATTTGGGCATTTTCCAGTAAGCAATTGGAAATCACTGGCAGATTTGATATCAGAAATAACTGGACAGTTTTGCATATTAGAAGATGAATTTAGCAACAATGTAGAGAATAAATTTGGGGTGCCCAAATATAGAAGCAAGATCACCAGTTGGGAGGCTATTGAAGTAGTAGTCTAGGTCAAAGGTGATGAACCCAACAAAGAGCTATAGTATATAGAGAAGGAGAAGAGGGATAAATTTGATATTATTGGAGACAAAATTGACTAGACTTGGAGATTTAACAAATGGGGGCTGAAGGGTAGGGAGGAGGAGGGGTAAAAAAAAATTGCTGCCGAAACCGGTTTGGCTCAGTGGATAGAGCGTCGGCCTGTGGACTGGAAGGTCCCAGGTTCGATTCCGGTCAAGGGCATGTACCTGGGTTGCAGGCACATCCCCAGTAGGAGATGTGCTGGAGGCGGCTGATCGATGTTTCTCTCCCATCGATGTTTCTAACTCTCTATCTCCCTTCCTCTCTGTAAAAAATCAATAAAATATATTTAAAAAATTGCTAAAATTCTGGCTAAATACAGGAGCAGTAACAGATGGAAGAGGAGGAAGATTAATATTAGTAAAATTGAAAAGTCAAGTTCAGGGTGCCTCTGAGACTTAGCATTGATTGATAAAGGGAAATCCAGGCTTGAAAAATATGGATATGGGAGTCATGGATACATAGGTAGTAGTAGTTAAAGGCATGGAAGTAGCCATTTTCTGTGTGCTAAGCACTCTCCTTAATGCTTTACATACATTGTTTTATTTGTTTTAAAATGTTTTTGTTGATTTTAGAGAGCGAGGAAGGCTAGAGAGAGAGAAACGTCAATTCGAGAGAGAAACATAGATTGGTTGCCTCCCGAATGCACCTGACTGGCGATCAAATCCTCAGCCTTTTGGTGTATGGAACGAAGCTCCAACCAACCAAGCCACCTGTCCATATACATTGATTTATTTAATTCTTGTAACAACCTGTGAAGTTGTCATTCTGTAATTATGGAGTTAATAGAAGTTAAAGTGAAGACAGCGAATGCATAAAGCTCTTTCAGATTCCTGATTCTGAAGGATCTTACCTGACTCAGATAAGTTGATCTGGATGGGTTTAAATGTGGATACTTTTTTTTGAGAGAACATAATTTCCATCTAACGATTTATGCTCTCTCTGTGAAATAGCATGTAAGCTTATCTCCTGAGAGTGAGAAAGTAATGTGGTAACATAGAGGGCTTGACAAGAGTAGTAGAAATTTGAAATAGCTCTTACAGTAAATGAGAGAAAATGCTGATTAAAGACATGTGGAAGGACAGTAGCATTGAGGGCCCAGCTGAAGGAGATTGAATTTATATGGTTTCAGTCTTCCTTTTTCTTCAACAGAACACAGAGCAGAAATAAAGTTGTAGTGGAGGCATTCAGTTAGATTGATCCAGATTTAAGATTTTGTTGAGTGCATGTGCTAGAAAGGCTAAATTTGAGGCAGGTGGGGGAACGATGATGAAGGTTTTGATAAAAGAGTTATTTCAATAATGGATCAGAAACTCTGGAATTGATGGAGAAAGAATTTGAATACTGGAAGAGGCTGTAGAGAAAATAAAGAACTGAGATTCTGATGAAAGTGAAGAACAAAAGAGTGGTTCCGGGAGGATACTGAATTTGAGATCAAGAAATTGGGGGACTAGAAAATACGATGGATCATCCATGTGGATATTAAGATTGCCCAGGATAACAATGAAATTTGGGGTGACATTGCTCAAGGTTCCAGACAGTAAGTTGATTGGGCCTAATCATGGGCCTTTGAAAAAGGTTGACTCAGGTGTGTTTTATGGGATCAAATTATTCATTTCCCAGGACCTTTGCTTGGTGATGCAAGTAGCAGCAGAACCTCTTTTCCAGTAGATGGAAGGATTTACATGTATCTGAGTGGATCTGGACTGGTTGATGAAAGGAGTCTATCTACAATTATAAGGAATTTGCCTGAGGGCACATTCTGATTGGATTCTAGAAAAGCCCATGCTCTCTCCAGTAAACCTGGTGTTTTTGCAACAAGTTGAGCCGCTTCTACTCAATTTTTTTTATCTTTTCAAATGTTTGGGAGAGCAGTTTTTTGGTTTTTGTTTTTTAATTTTAGCTTCTCCAGAGTTAATGAGTTTTTTAGTGGCAAGCATCTATAAAGTGAAGTAGAAATCTATTCAAGGAGTACCTTAAACAAAAACTTAACCTGAAGCAGTCAAGGTTTTTAGACAGTAGGTTCAGTAAGTTGATCATATTAGTTCATTTGTCTGTTCATCCATCCATCCAATAGCAGTTTGAGAACACTGTGTTTGGAATAAATTGAACTAAGTATAAATTGACTGATTTTGTTTTATTTATATCTTTTATCATCTCTAGCTGCCTATCCCCACCGTTTGAATCTCTTTTACCTTGCCAATGATGTCATCCAGAATTGTAAAAGGAAAAACGCAATCATATTCCGTGAATCATTTGCTGATGTACTTCCTGAAGCAGCTGCTCTAGTGAAGTAAGTAAATTCTTACTGGTCTTTGGGATCTAAGCTTAGAAAATGTAGAATTTTAGATTCCATTTTTACCCATTACTAAGAACTGTAATTGTTGTACATGCTTAAGGATCCAAGAATATTTGTCCAAGTTATTCATTGTAACTTTCCTGCTAATGTCGCATTTTTTTCTTTCAAAAACTCTTTGTTCCCTTTTTGAAAGTTTGTAATTTACAGTCTGCCTCTTCTGGCTGACCTTCCCTTATGTATCTCCTGCTCATACTCTCCGGCTACTTCTTCCCAACCGCTTCTTCTGTTTTTGTGGGGGGGTTTAAACATTTGCCTACTTTTTTTAGAGTTTTTCTGAAATTTTGTTCCCTTCAGGAAATCTGTATAATTGAAGGGGAATGGAGATATTTATTCCCAACTCCATATTGATTTATTTCATTCTTAGCAAAATTATATCCAGCACTTTCCAAAATGCTGGAACACATATCTGATCTTATTTTTGCCCTGTACTAATTGTTTTTCTTGTGTTTTATCCATATTTGTAAGTTGTTTGGTACAAGACACACACACACACACACACACACAATTGGAAGGAAAATAGTCATATGGAAGAATCAAAATAGCTAAATATTTCCTCAAATTAGATATTTATTAGCTTAATACATTTGTATAAGTATGTTAATATAATATAATACTGATCCATTTGTTAGTATTAACCCCATCATAGCTAAATGATCCTTGTTCCTTCCTTTGGATTATTAACTTGAGATACCTATTTTGGTATTACAAAAGGTCAAAATATGGCGCTGCCTGAATGTACTAAGTCAGTGGTCGGCAAACTGCGGCTCGCAAGCCACATGCGGCTCTTTGGCCCCTTGAGCGTGGCTCTTCCACAAAATACCGACTTCGTCGGGGGTCCAAACGGCGCCTCGCAAGCCACATGCGGCTCTTTGGCCCCTTGAGCGTGGCTCTTCCACAAAATACCGACTTCTGCGCATGGGCCACAAAGTTTCAATCGCACTGTACATGCGCGCCCGCACTTGGTATTTTGTGGAAGAGCCACGCTCAAGGGGCCAAAGAGCCGCATGTGGCTTGCGAGCCGCAGTTTGCCGACCACTGTACTAAGTGATAAAGATTTATACACATGTCAGGAATACATAAAATAACAATTGCACCTAACATTTATTGAACACTTGAAATTGACCAGATATTTTACAAAGTGCTATGTGTGCTTTAAGTCATTTAATCCTGAGAACAACTTTATAAAGTAGCTACTACTACTGTTCCATTTTAAGGAGGAGGAAACTGGCTTAAAGAGATTAAATAACTGGCCTAAGTTCTCACAGCTCCCTGGGTGGAGGGGGAGTGTCCTGTAGAATTCCCACCCAAGCCTGTCTAGACTCCAAAGCCCATGTTCTTTGCCACTTACCCACTAGTATGTGCTGCCTCTTTACATATGTAAACCCAGTAATTTTAAGTAAGAAAAGCAGTGTGCCAGTTGATCCCCACTTAGAGTTTCTGCTGTAAATGTCACTGTAGTCTTTTTAAAATTTAACCTAGTCTTCCCAAGACTTAAGATTTCATGACCTAATTCATGGTTGTCAGCTTTTATTTTACAATGTGAAACTCACAGTAACCAACTTTGCAGGTAAGCAGATTAAATTTTGTTTTTCCTTTTTACAAAATGAGAACACTGAAACTCAGAACAGTTAAGAAATTGCCCAAAGTAAAATGACAATTTAGTGAAAGAGCTGAGACTGAAACAGATTTTTCTGTCTCTTAGTCCTCTATTATTTTTACTCTAGTACATAGTCTTTCTAAACTTAATTTATAGGTGTGGGTTTTTTTTTATCTTATAATGGACCCTTAGTAATTTTAGATATTTTTTTAAATATATTTTATTGAATTTTTACAGAGAGGAAGGGAGAGGGATAGAGAGTCAGAAACATCGATGAGAGAGAAACATCGACCAGCTGCCTCCTGCACACCCCCAACTGGGGATGTGCCCGCAACCAAGGCACATGCCCTTGACCGGAATTGAACCTGAGACCCTTGAGTCCGCAGGCCGACGCTCTATCCACTGAGCCAAACCGGTTAGGGCAGATTCTTATCTCTTTATTTCTTAGTCACTTACCAAGGACTGATTCTTTTGTTGTTTCTTCCTCCTTTTCTCTCTGCCTTTTAATTTCCCATTATCTCTATTTAATATATTTGTATTATTATATCATCCTTCTAACTAGTTTCTCAGTTTCTGATATACTTTTCATTCACTTTAGGCTACATACATGTCCAGACATATAATGGTTTAAGGCCATAGGCCTTGGAACCAAGCTACATGGGTTTGAATCCTGGTTTTGCCACCTTCCAGCTCTATAACTTTAGGCAATTTAAATTAGCCTCAGTTTTCATATCTGTATAATGGAGCCAGTAATAAATAGTACCTACCCCACAGAATGAGGGAACTGAGTTAATAGTACATATAAAGAGCTTAGAACAGTGACTGGCATATAATAAACACTTAATAAATGTTAGTTGCTGCTATAATGATGAGCCTGGCTGAGTAGAAGCTCTTCATTGATAACCTGACGACTAATAGAGTGTTGCTGGGGCGCACTGCCAAGAGCTGGGGTTTGATCTTGCTCTTCTTCTTCCGAGTCTTTTATGGGTTCCTGGCTGCACTTTTCATATTCACAATGCTTCAGACTCAGAGCGATGAGGTTCCAAAATAGTGCGACCAGACTTCTAGTCCAGGACTTAGGGTTTTTCCAAAACTAGTGTCTATGTTGGAATTCATTCAGTATGTTTGATCCAGAGTCCTATGAAAGGTACATTGAAAACATTATGGCCCTAGCCGGTTTGGCTTAGTGGACAGAGCATCGGCCTGTGGACCAAAGGGTCCCGGGTTCGATTCTGGTCAAGGGCACATACCTTGGTTGCAGGCTCCTCTTCTGTCTGGGCCCTGGTCAGGGCTTATGCAGGAGGCAACCAATCGATGTGCTTTTCTCACATTGATATTTCTTTTTGTCTTTCCCTCTCCCACTCTCTCTAAAAAAAAAATCAATGGAAAAAATACCCTTGGTGAGGATTAAAAAATTAAATAAATAAAAAAGAAAACTTAATGAAGTTTCTAGAGATTTAGAAGAACTGAAGAATTTCACAGTCTGTCCTGATGGAGTACTTTTTGAAGGTCCAGTTCATGTTGCATGTCAGTTTCCCATTATCTACTTCAGCATGCAGTGGTATGGATGATCCTGGCTGACTCTCCAGGGGACACCTCAAGGAGAACTAAGGATAGAATGCTTCAGTATTCCTAAGAGTGACAACTCTTATCAGCTTTATCCTCCCAATTTTATTATAGACAAAGTATTTTTCCATGTTATTGCTTGTCCAGCTTGGCTTTGGTGCTAGTTGTACGCCAAAAGAAGTAATAGTCAAATACAAGATTATTGGACACCTAACCTGAAAAACTGATGATTGTGACAGGTTTTTAGGACAAGTTGTGTTCAGAATCACAATATATACATAGTAGGAGTTAGGCTATCCTCACAGAGTAAATGTTGTATTGTCTTCATTTTGTATTAGTCGGAACTGGCATGCTAGAATCATGAGACCACCTAAGAGAAAGGGTGGGGTGGTACATACATTGGGATAACATCATGATGTGCTTCCTGATCATAGTGTTCAGTGTCCTCTGAAGTAACTGACTGTTGCCTCTGCTGCCTTTTGGAGCTGTTGGACAGCCACCGAATAGGGCCCATGAACACCTGATTCTGAACATGTAGAATGGATGTCTTGTCCTATTTTTATGTGGTTTAATTACCACATAAGCTTAATGTGCTGTGCTCTATAAACATTTTGTAGATTGAACATGGGTTAACTGTCATATTTTTATGCCAGCAAAGTTTTAGGGATAAAATGGTACCTGATCGACATGCAGTGACTTGATAGCTAAAAAAATAAATGTGGTGTGTGGAGAAGTTCTGTATGTGAAGAAGAAAAAAGAAAAGAAAAATGGATTTAAAAGGTTGTCTTGGAGGTCAGGGAGTGAAAAACAAGCCACAGAGTGGGAGAAAATATTGCAGTGCAATCAACAATGGGATCATAAAGAATTACAAAATAGGAAGAAAAAGGCCAAAAAAAATAAATAAAAGAGTTTACCTGGCACTTATTATACTAGAAATTAAAACAGAAATTGTTTAAATACCTATTAATTACTTTAAAATGTATATATTTTTTGCCCTAATTGGTTTGGCTCAATGGATAGAGCGTCAGCCTGCGAACTCAAGGGTCCCAGGTTCAATTCCGGTCAAGGGCATGTACCTTGGTTGCGGGCACATCCCCAGTGTAGGGAGCGTGCAGGAGGCAGCTGATTGATGTTTCTCTTTCATCAATGTTTCTAATTCTACATCCCTCTCCCTTTCTCGCTGTAAAAAATCAATAAAAATATATATGTATATATAAAAAGTAATAAAATGTATATATTTTTTATTGATCTCAGAGAAGAAGGGAGCGGGAGAGAGAAATTGAAACATCAGTGATGAAAATCATTGATTGGCTGCCTCCTGCATGCCCCCTTCTGGGGATTGAGCCCACAACCTGGGAAAAGGGGGACATCTATAATACTTTTAACAATAAAGATAATTTAAAAAAAAAACACAATAAAAACATCCTCGGGTGAGGATTAAAAAAAGAATTGTTAAGTAGGTAAAAGGTAGCTACTAACTACTAGAAAAGAATAAAAGAGCTCTAAGGTACGGTGGGACTACTTCTGGACCTGAGGGAAAAGTAGATGAGGAGCCCCCTCTTCTCCCAGCTGAGACTCAAACCTGAGGAAAGAGGGAATTGCTACCTGCACATGCTACTTGCCACTGTACTGGCTAAGAAACAGGTGGAGAGCACTCATCACTGAACTGCAAGAGCAACCCCCCACCAAGATGCCTGTATGCTTGCTGATCCACTTAAGAGCAGAATAGAACACCAAAAGAATCCCTACAGCCAATTCCAGCCTCTCAGTGTCACTCTAGGGCCCCCTATTGGCAGAGCCTAACAAAGAGCCAAGGGTTCATTCTGGCTCCAGTAGCACCAAGAAGGGTGGCTTAGAGCAGAGAGGCAATAAATTAATATCTGGCACATATACATTTTAAAGTTCACCAATACCAAAATTAGCAAGATTGTGGCACAATGGGAACTCTCATATACTGTTGGTTTGAGGGTTGGTGGGTATAAAACAACCTCCTTTTGAGAAGTTTGTTATAGCCCTGGCCGCTTTGGCTCAGTGAATAGAACATTGGCCTGCGGACGTCCAGGGCATGTACCTTGGTTGCAGGCACATCCCCAGTGGGGGGTGTGCAGGAGGCAGCTGAATGATGTTTCTCTCTCATCGATGTTTCAAACTCTCTATTCCTCTCCCTTTCTCTCTGTAAAAAAATCAATAAAATGTATTAAAAAATATATATGTATATTTAAAATGCCCATACATTTAAAAAAAAATAAAAAGTTTGTTATGTACACCCTGTGATCTTGGGATTCCACCCCTAGTCTTTTAAAAGCCCTGAGAAACTTTTGTATATGTACAGCAAATTGATGGAAGAGAATTTTTATAGCAACAGTATTTGTGGTAATGAAAATTTGGAAACAGCCCAGATATATATTGCAAACTTATTTAAATCTTGAGGTATTAAATAAAATTTGATAAACAACCCAGATATTATATACTGCAAACTTAAACCTTGGGGTATTAAAACCTTAAAATGTTAGAAGAAAATATGAAAAATTTTATGACAAAGGGAGTTAAAAAGCTCTTAAAACACAAAGAACAATAAATAAATGTATTTATGAATTTATTTACATCAAAATTAAACTTCTGTGTTAGAGAATAAGCCATAAAATTAAAGACAAGTGACACACTAGGGAAGATATTTGTTATAAACAAATAAAAAAATTAAGTTATAAAATGGTCATTATTTTAGGAAATATGGAGTAGCAAGTTTTTAGAGAGAAAATTTATCTCCACTCTAATTTCTGAATTTTTAATTATTATTATTTTTTAAGCTTCACTTGATATTTTTCCCATTGATTTTTAGAGAGAGTGGGTAGGGTGGTGAGAGAAAGATAGATTGACATGGAAGAGACACATTGATTGTTTGGTAAGAGTCTCAACCGTGGCCGAGGATGAACCTGCAACCCAGATATGTGCCCTTGACTGGGAATTGAACCTGCGACCCTCTCTGTTCCACGGGCCAAGCTCTAACCACAATACACACTGGCCAGGCCTAATTTCTGAGTTTTTTAAAGTATTACTAAGCCTTGTCTTATTCTGTACTCATACAATTGATTTTTTAGACCAGATTCTTTATTATTAGATTATATCTTATTAGAGTCAGTCTATCTTTTGGGAGGCTAGTTGTGTCAATGCATTCCCTGAGTGGCCCTCTCAACTTCACATCCATCAATAAGTTCAGTGTGTTGTCCATAGCCTCATCTGTGTCATTCATAGAACTGAATAAGAGTGCTTAAGATTTTAGTCCTAGACATGTAGAAAAAAGTTTTAAAATAAACATCAAAAGACATTTGGAAAATAATTTTGTTGATAACTTTATTTTTAGGTCTATAGTTTGAGATACAACATTCTTATCTATCTCACTTTTTCTTTCTCCTCAGGGATCCATCTGTCTCTAAATCTGTAGAACGAATCTTTAAAATCTGGGAGGACAGAAATGTTTACCCAGAAGAAATGATTATGGCATTAAGAGAAGCTTTGAGTAAGTGTCTTTTCTCTCCTAGAAGGAAATTTGAGTCATTGTTCAGACTTTAAAATTGTATATATTTTGTAGATTTGGTCCTGTTGCTTAATAATGAAATAGAAAGTTTTGGATCTGATCTTGTTAGTATAAAATTAAATACTTATAAAAATCCGAATTAAAATTTAAGTAGAATTGGTTTGGGGAGGGTTGGATTTTGTTTTTTTGACTGAAGAAAGTCAAGCATATTAAGTGATGATGGTCATCTAATTATTCCATTTGCTTTACGTCAAGTGTTTAAACTAAAGTTCACTTTTTGTGCTTAATAATTACTGCCCTGTCCTCTTACTGTTGGAGAATTTTTGGACCGGATTTCAGTTTTCACTAGGTATTTGATATTAAGCATATATTGGCATTCTTTAGTCTCTATTTTGGTTTAGACTTACAGTAAGTGGCATGCATATTTTTTAAAAAGTTATTTAGTTCCTATGTATTAGAGACATGCAATTAGGTCATGGAATAGAAGCTGGTGATATCTTAAATCATGACCATTATTGACTAGAAATTTGCTTTACAAATAGCAACTTCTAAGAAGCTGTTAAATTCTTCATTGGAATGTGTTAACTGGTATTTTTAAGCTTCCTGTCCTATTCTCAAAATCAGTCATTTCATTGACAGTAGAAATCATGTTTATTTGACAGCTTCTTAGAGATCTGGTAGGTGTTTTATTTATTTTTTTTAAATAAAAATGAAAGAAAAGGAAAGAAAGAAACAACACACAGTCTCGGATTGCCTTTTTTCGTGCTACAACTTTGACACTCAAGTGGACAGACAGAACAGCTTCCCATAATGCCAGATTGCAAAAACTGAAATGTTTTCCAGGTACCACTTTCAAAACTCAGAAGCAGCTGAAAGAAAATCTGAACAAACAACCGAATAAGCAGTGGAAGAAATCACAAAGTAAGGAATAAAATCTCAACTAATATAAAATTAACTCCTCTTTTTGGAGCAGAAGAAAATGTAGACCATTTGACATCATACCTCGCATAAACTATGGGCAAACCTGTGTTTTCCAGGCCTGGGAGGCTCCCAGTGACTTACACTAAACAAGCCATCATGGAGTTACTTCTTAAAAACAAAACAAAACAAAACAAAAACTACTTTTAAACAAAGAAAATGCAGGAAGAGGGTTTAAATGAGTGAAGATTCAAGAGTAGTTGGGGGATTGAAAGAAGAAAATAAATACTTGATAGTGCCCAGGCTAACTCTCGGGTTCAAAGATATATGAAGTTAGAGGCAGCTGGCATTAAACAACAGAGCTGAAGAGGAGACTAGGCATTAAGAAGCATTTCTGTGGGAGCCATGAAATCCTTCAGATTTGGGGATACACTCTACCAGATTAGACATGGGCCTCAGCTCAGGCCAGAAGCTCATTCTCTAACAGGAGCTCCTGCTATGTTTATCATGTTTACCCAGCATGAGATCAAGGGAGTGGAATACTGCATGTAATAGGCTGCTGTGGGCCAAACAGGAATATTGAGAAAGACCTGAAGGTGTGGAGGGAACAAGGTAAAAGACAGTGAGAATTGGGAGGTGAATCAAGACACTTGGGATGGTTTTGCTCCAGCAAGCATTTGATATTCGTCATGATTAAGGGAGTCCCCTATCTTCCTTTTGGGCATAAGTTGCATGCTTAGGAACAACAGGAGTCATCATTTCAGCCAAAGTTCCAGCACAGTGGTAATGTACTTAGAGCTTACTTTGCCTGTTTTTGCTATGAACTGAGTCACCAGAAAAAGAAATCCAAAGCTAAAATACATAGGAATAGAGTTGATGTTTGTAAATAATTTTCTTCAGCCGGTGCTCAGGATTAATTGGATGTCCTGCTCCTTAACACTCTTATTTTGAAGTATTGAGATCCTCTTACACTCAGTCAGACTAGGGAAAAAGGTACTTCATGTATCTCAGGATCTCCAAATCAATAATTCTAGGACTTTATGACTTAAAGGGCCTATTGGAGGTAAGTCGGCCAGTCATATGTTTTTATATTGACCATGCTTGGGAATGTTTAAATTTCGTATTCCACTATTCTAGATACTATGATTTAAATGTGCATGTTTGACATATGTTAAAAAGTACACCCTTAACTATAAGAGCTAAAATTTTTCTGAATATTAGTCGATATTTTCTGTCTGTATTCTTAATGATGTTTTGTTTCATTCCAACAGCATCCACGAATCCAAAAGCTGCTCTCAAATCTAAGATAGTTGCTGAATTTCGAGTAAGTTACAGAATATGTTGAACATGGCCAAAGCATTATTTACCCTTTTTGTGTTACAGCTTCCTGTGTAGTCCAGTAAGATTTATTTTTATTCAGTTTGTACATCAATTATATTTTAAGGGAATCCAGATTGGGATCAGATTACTTGAAGTTTTATCTGTTTCCCTAATGCAGCGGTTCTCAACCTGTGGGTCGCGACCCCTTTGGGGGTCGAATGACCCTTCACAGGGGTCGCCTAAGACCATCGGAAAACACATATATAATTACATATTGTTTTTGTGATTAATCACTATGCTTTATGTTCAATTTGTAACAATGAAAATACATCCTGCATATCAGATATTTACATTATGATTCATAACAGTAGCAAAATTACAGTTATGAAGTAGCAACGAAAATAATGTTATGGTTGGCAGTCACCACAACATGAGGAACTGTATTAAAGGGTCGCGGCATTAGGAAGGTTGAGAACCACTGCCCTAATGGAAAAAATAACCTTACAGAAAATCTGTTACAGGCTTAGTTCTATACTGAATCCCCCAACAAGGGGTTCATCTTTCTTTGAAGCTCTACTAAATTAGAATTTGTGTACAGTTAGAATAATAAGGCTATGTTTATCTAATTAAAATTTAAAGATTTAAAGTGGACCTTTGTTTCATTCTTTTTTTTAAAAAATATATTTTATTGATTTTTTACAGAGAGGAAGGGAGAGGGACAGAGAGTTAGAAACATCGATGAGAGAGAAACATCGATCAGCTGCCTCCTGCACACCCCCTACTGGGGATGTGCCCGCAACCAAGATATATGCCCTTGACCGGAATCGAACCCGGGACCCTTGAGTTCGCAGGCTGACGCTCTGTCCGCTGAGCCAAACCGGTTAGGGCCTTTGTTTCATTCTTAACCTTATATCTATAAAGTAGCTTTGAATAACTAAGGAAAATGGCCCTTTTTTTTTTTTTAATCCTTACCTAAGGATACGTGTTGATTGATTTTAGAGAGAGAAGAAGGGAAAAAGAGAGAGAAACATCGATCGGTTGCTTCCCGTACAAGTCCTGGCCCAGGATCGAACCCGCAACTTATGTATGTACCCTGACTGGGAATCAAACCCACAAACCTTTTGGTGTATGGGACAAGGCTCCAACCAACTCACCCACCCAGCCAGGGCAGGAAAAGGATCTTTTAAAGTATAAGACTAAAAGAATATTTTGACATGAGAATTGCTATTGATATCCCTGATTATGAGGAAATGTGAGGGGTTTTATTAGGTTTTAATGGGGGAAGATAAATAAATCAGTGATCTTGTGAATGAAATTTGACTCTGCTCTGTGTTCAGTCTCAGGCCCTCATTGAAGAGCTGTTGCTATACAAGCGCTCAGAAGATCAGATAGAATTGAAGGAAAAACAGCTGTCAACTATGCGGGTGGATGTGTGTAGCACAGAAACTCTCAAATGCTTAAAAGGTAATACTTACATCCTTTTAACAAGAACAACTCAGATTTTCTTCCCAGATCTGTCATTTTCAAGTAAGACTGGCTTCTTCCATAAAGAGAACCCTCAGTTGATTGTAGAGAGCAGTTGTGCCAGCTCTGGTTTCCCAGGTACTGATTATATGCATATACATTTCGTAAGTAAATTTCTGTCCTTCACCTGTGCACATTAAACTCTCACAGTTTTATCTGTCAATTATATCTCAAGAAAGCTGGGAAAAAATAAGTTTAAAAACCCAAAGAAATAAATTCTGTCATTTTCTTCATTTCTGGTGCTTTCTTGATATATTAGGTTATATATAGGCAGGTGTATTTCAAATATGTGATTAACTGGTTTGAGTATGCTCTTTAATACGGTCACTGTAATGCCTCATAAACTCTAGTGAGTTGCTCTCTTGTCCTTACATTGTAAATTATAAATAATAGTTTTTGTTTTGTTTTTGTGTGTTAATCCTCACCCGAGGATATTTTTTTTCATTGCTTTTCAGAGAGTGGAAAGGATGGGGAGAGAGAGAGAGAGAGAGAGAGAAACATTGATGTGAGAGAGAGACACATAGACTAGTTGCCTCCTACATGGGCCCCATAGCGGGTGGGGAGCAAACCCCCAACCTTGACTGGGAATCGAATCCGTGACCTTTAGGTGCTTGGGTTGACGCTCTAACCACTGAGAAACCAGCCAGGGCATAAATAATATTAATAGTTTATCATAGTATAAATCTCATGATGGTAGAAACTATCCTTTGTGCTTTAAATATATTTTTGTTGTTGTTGTTGACTTTAGAGAGAGGAAGGGAGAGGGAGAGAGAGAGGGATAGAAACATCAGTGATGAGAGAGAATAATCTATGGCTGCCTTCTGCATGCCCCCTACTGGGGATGGAGCCTGCAGCCCGGGCATGTGCTCTGACCAGGAATCAAACCGTGACCTCCTGCTTCATAGGTCAACATTCAACCACTGAATCACACTGACTGGTAAAATTATCCTTATTTGTTCACTGCTGTATCCAGCCTAGACCAATGCTTGTTTGGGACATAATAGGCATTTAATAAGTATTTTTGAAGTAATGAGTAAATGGCTACTAGATATTCATTTTGGCCTTTATTTTGTTATTGTAACATGCTTTAAATTTAACATGTTAGCTTTGCACAGTAGCAGTATCATAGTCAATGGGATTTATTTGAGGCACGATTATTGCTAATTGAATAAATAAATAAATTTAACATGTTATTGAATTTAATTCTCACAACAACCCAGAAGTATATTAAAAATTTCCATTTTATATATGAGAAATTCAAGACTTCATAAGGAGATGAATAGCTTGCCTAAGATACACAGCTGATGAGAGACAAAGCCAAAATTTGTTCCCTTTTCTAAAGCCATATTCCTACAGTCATGGGGATGAAGTATACTTAGCAGTGTAAGTAACAGTTCGTAATGTCACTATTGGGTTTTTTTTTGTGTGTGTATTTTTAATCCTCACCTGAGAGTATTTTTTCCATTGATTGCTTTTTAGAGAGAATGAAAGGGAGGGCAGGAAAGAGGGAGGCAGAGAGAGAGAAAGAAACATCGATGTGAGAGAGACACATCAGTTGGTTGCCTCCTGCACATACTCCAGCCAGACCAGGGATCATCTACAACCCAGTTACGTGTCCAAGACTGGGAATCAAACCCGAGACTCTCTGGTGCTCAAGTCAATGCTCTAACCATTGGGCACAACAGCCAGGGCCATAATATCATTATTTTTTTCCCTTTTTAAAAAAAAATATATTTTATTGATTTTTTTACAGAGAGGAAGGGAGAGGGATAGAGAGTTAGAAACATCGATGAGAGAGAAACATCGATCAGCTGCCTCCAGCACACTCTCCACTGGGGATGTGCTTGCAACCAAGGTACATGCCCTTGACCGGAATCGAACCTGGGACCCTTCAGTCCGCAGGCCAACGCTCTATCCACTGAGCCAAACCAGTTAGGACCATACTATCATTATTGATGCAAAAATAATTGAGGGTTTGTACTCTTCGTATATGAAATTATTAGACATCTTCCGATAGGAAAGAAGAATTTTTAGTGTGATTCACAGAGCGGTCACTTTATCTTTACTTTTCTGAATCTTAGTTTTTTCATGTATCTTACATATTCTAGTGCAGCAGTTCTCAACCTGTGGGTCGTGAGCAATGAAAATACATCCTGCATACCAGATATTTACATGACGATTCATAACAGTAGCAAAATTACAGTTATGAAGTAGCAACGAAAATAATTTTATGGTTGGTGGTCACCACAACATGAGGAACTGTATTAAAGGGTCGTGGCATTACGAAGGTTGAGAACCACTGTTCTAGAGGATTAAAAGTTAATGGGCTAAGTCAGGGGTGAGGAACATCCAGCCCAAGAAATCATTTGGTCTGGCCCTGCTAAGTCATTAGTGGTGAGTTCATTAAATGTTTGACCAAATACAGCAAGCTAGTTTTTTAGTTGGTAATTGTGAATGGCCCATGAATGATATTATAAATATCCATATGGCCCTTGGCAGAAAAAAGGTTCTCCACCCCTGGTCTAAGTGAACAGAATCAAGCCTCATTCCATTATTCCAAAGTAGTAGAATGGCATCAAATTTGTAAAGAAAATCAATGAACTTTCTTTTAGTTGGATTTTCTTTTGTTTACTGTGATTATTGGTACTTTCATGATGCACTATTGCTTTTAACTCTAGCAGATTCACATGAATCATTTTAATAATCTGTTTTGTGATTTGGAGAAGCTTTTTAAAGTTGAAACTATGAGACTAAGAATATTACATGTTAAGGCAGTAAGAACAGGTTCACTGATCATCTGGAGGGAGGTTTTCTTCAGAAAATTAAATTACTTACTTTTTCTTTTTTATCCTGAAATGAATACTTCCTCTGTTATTTTAGATAAGACCGGTGGGAAGAAGTTCTCCAAAGAATTTGAGGAGGCAAGCGCCAAGCTGGAGGAATTTGTGAATGGATTAGATAAGCAGGTGAAAAATGGGCCCTCACTAACAGAAGCACTGGAAAATGCTGGAATTTTCTATGAAGCACAATACAAAGAAGTAAAAGTGGTGGCCAATGTAAGTAGTAATTAGAGCTATCATATTGATTGGTTACTCTATGTCAGTGACTGTTTTACATGTGTTACCTAACTCAGTGTGGATAAACATTATCTCCAGTTCACAGATGAAGAAGTTACTTTTGAAGAGGTTTAGAACCTTGGATAGGTAATACTAGTATAGCTAGCAAGTGGTGGAGTCTAAATTAGACCTGGGTCTTTTTGATGCTAAAGCTCATGCATACCCTGGTTATTATTATGCCTTATGTCTTAGAATTTCAAAGGGAGTATGTCAAGTTATTGTTACAGGATATAAAATTAGGCTGAAATATATGTAGAAAACTAGATGGAAACATTCTGTTACTAAATTTCATGTAAATTGACTGCGTTAAGAATCCACTGAAAAGGAGTTGATAATGTTCATTTTGTACATAATTTTTTTAAAGTTTTAATCACCATATGTAAAAGCATATAGTATTATAGAACCCACCAGTCCCACTTCCTAAAAGCCATTCCTTTTACCTCATTTAACTATTTTTCTAGCATTTGCCTCCATATTTCTAAATTATATATCCATATGGTTCTTCCTTGGTTTATCCTATTTAAGAAAGATCTTTTAACTACTTGATGTGACAAATGAGGATTTAGCTTATATTTACCAGCCTTCCGCTTTCTCCCAGTATTATTATACAACTGTTTTAAATCTTTGTATTACCTTTGTAAAGGAAAGTACAGTTGACTCTTGAATACATGGGGTTTAGGGGTGTTGACCCTCATTCCCTGTGCGGATGAAAAACTGCATATAACATTTGACTCCCCAAAAACTTACTACTATGCAGTCATTTCTCAGTATCCACTGGGGATAGTTCCATGACCCGCTGCGGATACCAAAATCTGCAGATGCTCGAGTACCTTATATAACATGACATAGAACAACACATCTGCAGATTGAAAATTCTGTTTTCAATCCATGGGTGGTTGAATTTGTGGATGGGAAACCTCGGGGATACAGAGGGCCAATGGACTCTTATAAATGGATCTGTGCAGTTCAAATCTCTATTGTTCAAGGGTCACCTATACTATACTATTTTTTGACCACTAACTCTAGACTCCCTGCTTTGTAAAATGAGGATATTAACATCCTATCCTTTCCCATTAGTTTTCACCTATCTCTTCAGTTTCCCAGCTTTAGTGAACTATACTTTACTTACATACTGTTGTAAGGTAGATATTTACATTCCATTCTGTAATCATAATTGTCTTCCTTGTTTTAAAGGATGGAAATTAATAAATAAAGCTTACATTATATCTATGTAAACATTTGTTCACTGCAAGGTCTATGTTAACTATGGATATATTAGAAATATTTGGCTTTCTTATAGAATTTCTTTTTTACCTGCATTGTTTACCTTTTCATATTCCAATCCCCAGCCCCCCTCCCTTTTCTCTGTAGCTTCAGATATTCTGAATCTACATTTTCCCCAGAGGCCTTTCTGCCTGAACTTCCATTCTCCTGATCCAGTTTTAGGTCTGTAGATCTCATCCTAGGATTAGTATTTACTGTTATTCTTAGATAAGCCCTCTGTTTTGAAGATTTGTGTCTTCTTTTCTTGGTATTTTCTCATCTTGCTGGAGCACATCCTCAATAAATTTTTATTTTATTTTTTAAAAATTATTTTATTTATTTAAATATATTTTAATTGATTTTACAGAGAGGAAGGGAGAGGGATAGAGAGTTTGAAACATCGATGAGAGAGAAACATCATTCAGCTGCCTCCTGCACACTCCCTACTGGGGATGTGCCCGCAACCAAGGTACATGCCCTTGACCAGAATCAGACCTGGAACCCTCCAGTCTGCAGGCCAACGCTCTACCCACTGGGCCAAACTGGTTAGGGCTCAATAAATTTTTTTAAAAAGAGGGTATTGCAAGAAAGAAATTTCTGAATCTTTATATCTAAAAATGTCTTTATTCTGTTTTCACATATGCTTTGATAGTTTGACTGGTTAAAGAGCATTTTCCCTCACAGTTTAGAAGACATTTCTCCATTGTCTTTAGTGTTGTTGATATGAAGTCTTTGCAAGATCCTTTGGGGATGACTCTTGTTTCTCTGTAAGCTTTTAGGGACATTGTCCATGATGTTCTGAAATTTTTACAATGATGTATCTACATGGTTTTCATTCTTTATGGGTTACTTGGTGTGCTCTTTCAGTCTAAAGATTGGTATTCTTCAACTCCAGGACAATTTCTCTCTTTCCTTTTCCTTTATTTTCTCTTTCTGGAACACTGATTAATCACATGTTGGATCTCCTAGGTTGATATTTAATGTGTCCTATGTTTTCTCAACCTTGATCTTTTTGTTTTGCTTTCTGGAAGATTTCAACTTTATCTTCCAGCTTCATCTCTTCATATTTTTATGTTTGACAGTCATATTTTAAATTTCTAAGAATTATTTTTTGTTCTGTGTTCCCTTTTTTATGGCAATCCTTTCTGATTTTATGGATACAGTATCTAGTGCCCATGAAGATATTAAAACTTTTTTCTCTTCCCTGAATTGTCTTGTTTCCTGGTAGAGCCTTTTATTTTATTTTTCCCCTCCTAGTTGTCTTAGTCTTTCTCTTTTATGATTTTGGCTTTCCTCGAAATTCATGTATTTCATTGTCCATTCCTAGTTAAGAATGAGTTATGAAAAAATTGATTGAGGGGCTTTCTATCCATAGGTAGGGATTCTCTACTTCTTGGGTTTAACCATTAAAGTCTGTGTAGGTGAGGAGCTGGCTGTTTGTCTGGGCAGGGGAGCTCTAAATGTGAGAAGGCTGGAGTCTTTTTGCCAGGATATTGTAACTCTATAGAGAAGAACTCACATTTTTTGCCTGGGACATAGTGCCTTGGCTACCAAGTGTAAAGGCTGCAGAAGAGGTGGTATGAGTGTTTGTCATCCACACTTTTAATGAATTGTCCTATTTCAACCCCACTACTTAACTCCTCCATCCTTTTATACTCATCTTTTTTGGATCAAAGTTTCTCAGGGATTCTGCAAGACAGATTTGCTCCTTTCCTAGATATAGCTCCCTTTCTATACACTCCTAAACTCATTTTTCTCCACCCTGCCTCATCACTTCTCACTCTTCCATTCACATTCTGTTGTCTGAAAATCTGTAGAAATCTTTTTCTCAGGTATATTTCTTGTTGTTGGTTTATACCTTTGTATTCCTTTACTTTTCGTTTTATAGGAGTCTCAGGAGGGAGAAACATGAATGGGAATGGTCAGTTCATCATTTTGACCCAAAAATACTTTATAATTTTTGAATAGTGACCTATATCCCTAGCCCTTTATTTATAGAATCATATAAAATCATTTAGTCTGCTTTGGAGGCTATTCAAAAAATGGCTTGGTGAGGTCTATTAAGCAAGCATTTGTTGAGCACTTACTCTGTGCCACGTATTGTGTAATACAGAGAAAAGAGACATTGTTCTCACAGAATTCTTTTGCTCTGATGGAGAAAATACAATAAAACACATCATTGCAATTTTGTGTGATAAAAGTTACAGTAGGAGGATACTGTGAGAATAGATTGAATTGGTACTTTTATCTAATTTGGGACTGGAGGTAGACGATATGGAGAAAATTTTTTCCAAAGGAGCTAAACTCTGAAATTGCAGTCATTAGATAAATGAAAGCTCATAATCTCTGATGAGCATTTTCAAAAGCATGGGAACATAACACAGCATGGCAAACTGGTAGACCTGAGAGCAGTTTCTGATAGCTGGGTTTGTATGAGGAAGTGATACGTAAAACTGGAGAGGTAGTTAGGAACAAAGTTCTGAAAGCAGTAGGAGGCAGTTGTGAGATTTAACTTTTTTTTTTACTGTTTTTATTAATTTTAGAGAGGAAGGGAGAGGGAGAGATAGAAACAATGATGAGCGAGAATCATTAATCGACTGCAACCTGAGCATGTGCCCTAACCAGGAATTGAACCAGGGTCCTCTTGGTTCATGGTCAGTGCTCAACCACTGAGCCACACTGGGTGGAGATTTTACTTTTTTTAAGTTTATAATATCCTATATAATAAAAGCCCAGCGACCTGTCAACCAGTTGCTATGATGCACACTGACCACTAGGGGGCAGACGCTCAACGCAGGAGCTGCCCCCTGGTGGTCAGTACGCTCCCACTGTGAACCCTGGGCCAATAGGCAAGAACCCGGGCTGCGAATGTTGCCTCCTCGCCCCAGGCTCCTCCTCACTCCCTGCTGCTGGGCTCGCAGAGCTGACCCCGAAGGCTAGGAGGCAGGTTTGTGGCCGCTGTGGGATTGAGGCCCACTCCGCCACTTCTCAGTGCTATTGTCCCCCAACCGGGTCCCCTGGAGAGGCGAGTGCTCTGGCTCCACAGAAGGTGCCGGACCAGGCGCAGCCACTCAGAGGGCAGGTCCATAGCCACTTGGCAGACGGGGATGAGCAGTGCTCCCACAGCAGGCCAATCCCCATAGGCCATGCCCCCCACCAGTGCATGAATAAGTCAAATTCACAATGTAAAGAAAAAGCCCAGGACTTTTATAACATTTCTATAACTTTAAAAGAAGATCTAAAGTAAATATTAGAAAATATTAACTTTTCAAAACATTTTAGGTAGTAAGTATATCAATTTTTTTATTTCACTATATTGTAGTTTATCAGAACTTTCTTTTAAAGGAGGAAAAGATCATGGGAAATAGATTGTAATAAAATTTTACCAAACCTATCACTTTTGGGAACTCATAAAATGGGTCTTCTCCCCCCCACCTCCCCACCTCCCACACACAGTTTTATACTTTTTATCAGTGTTCCATATTTCCTATAGGGAAAAAAATTCCCTCCCAAATGAACAAAAATCACCCCACCAGGCTTTAGACGTAAGAACTGTTCAAAAAATTCTAACATCGCCGAAGCCGGTTTGGCTCAGTGGATAGAGCGTCGGCCTGCGGACTGGAAGGTCCCAGGTTCGATTCCGGTCAGGGGCATGTGCCTGGGTTGCGGGCACACCC